TTTTTTTTTTTTTTTTTTTTTTTTTTTAACAGAAAATTCAATGCATTCTCGAATTAAACGAACATGAAGGAACTCGATCGGCTGGAAGATCTTTTCTGGGACAAAGAGAACGTAACAACCGGTCAAAGTCGAGGGATCGATGATCAATAAACATACCACCACGGTTTGAAGAAGACTGATGCACTAAACCATGGCTATGGGTCAAGTGTATGGGATCAGATGGCGCTTATTTCGGACTGGTTGCCATTGGATAAATTTATTTTTTATTTAGACCGTGGAGGGGAGATGATATTCGTCTCTCCCTTCATCATGTAAATCCTTTTTCATCCCATCACGCTTCGCCACTTTCTTCTGTTTTCCTTTCCACCATTTCTTCGATTATATTCTAGAATATGTGTACACATGTATCATATATATGTATATGTTTGCAGAATAATGTTAAATCATGCATTATATAACATTTAAAGATTCTTATCTATTTAAACAATCATTCCCTTACTTTTTTTTCTAATAATAAATAAAATCTCTTGAAAATAATTTTTACAAATATATTTCTGTTGAAATTTTTTAATGAAAAATTGCAAAAGAAAGTCCTTGTAATTAATAATTGTTCGATAATATTTCTATCTAATTATAAAAAATTAATTTGCAATGCTTTACATCTCTTGCAAGAATTTCTTATGCAACGTTTTCACCTCTCTGTCTGATTATAAAATCAGTTCGTGATGATTTGCACATATTGCATATATATGTATTATTTGGAAAAATTTCCTATGTGATATTTTCATCTGTCTCGTTATAAAATTAATTTACAACGACAAGTAAATTTAACCACACAAATGCCACAGCGTTACAATTCCATTTATCAATGATTACAATTTCTTTTTTCAGTGCAGGTGAGATTTAAAGAAATTTTCCATTGTGTAAGTTTAACGATTGCTCAAAGTATTTTCGTCTCTGGACGTTACATTGTTTCCTCGGCAACCTGTTGCCCGCTTGAGGATCGAGATCAACGGTCACTCGGCTAGAATTTCCAATACAATGTTTCCAAATCGAGCGTTGCGAGTGCGTCGAAATTTGAGTCTCGAGAGAAGAAGATGATTTAAATTAATATCCAGAATAATTTTTACGATCGATATAATTTTTAAAAAAATTTTTTAAAAATATTTGTAATTAATTCTCCCTCTGAAATAAATTAATTTTGAATTTGCAGGTGATTCAGAGTGTGACTCAAGAAGATAATTATGCTGCACAGAAGTCAAACAGGCAATTTGTCGGATCGTAATATCGTTGCAATTGTCCTAAGCTTGATTCAATGTCTAGTGTCACGTAGCATCGATGAATCAATTGAATGTATGCTTGCATATTTTGTGTACGATGTAGTATGTTATTCTTCGTGGACCTCACTACAATAAAAGAATTTTATAATAATGCATTATTTAAGTAAGTATCCATTTGTACTTTGTCACATTAATGAGTTTGTACAAAGCAAATAATTCTCAATGAAAATTTATCCTATTAATACTCTGTTTCAGCCATATTTCTTCATGTAATGTATATTACAATTTAATTGTTTACTGCTAACGTAATCACGTGTCAGATGCAAAGTATTTATATATATGATTTGGATTTAATAACACTCTGGAAAGCTGAAATTCAATCAGAGATCTAACACTTCGATAATAAATATAATTGCTGAATGGGAATCAGAATGGGAAATATTTAAAATATTGTTCATGAAAATTAAAAATTCGATAAATATTCAGAAAAATGTAAATCTTAAAATTTTATCTCCATCACTCATTATTACAAAATTATACTTAAAAAAAATTCTTCTTCGTATTTTAGATATTCACAAGGTTTCGTTAACTTTCCAAATAATTGAAAAATAAAAAAAAAATCAAATGCTTTCGTGACTCGTTGTGCATACACCAACCAAACTTCGAAAGAAAAGTAACTATTCTTCTATCTTTCCCGGTTCGTTGTAACTTTATCAAACCGGTTCAAGGCAGTTCGTCAACCATTTTCTGTGCTATTTGTTGCGAAAATTCACATACGGTGCTACGCCAATGCACCGTACGATAATAGCGTTGTTGTTACCTGCAATACGCAGACATTTATTACGTGACACAACGTAGCCGGTGCAACTTGAACCACGATCCTCTCTATCTCTTCAGTTGTTGTTCGACGCGCGGCGCGATTCCTCCTCCTAATCCTTTCGTTCGAATTTCGCTAACGAGCGAGATAAGCTCCGTTTGCGCGTTTATCGATCAAATTTTATCTGAAACTTGATTTCGAGAAATTGGAATCCGTTTTTTTTTTCCAAATCTCATAGAAGCATGCACTATGATTTTTAGATAATAATTTCTGATTTGCAATTGAATTGAATATTTGATATACCGTTTTTGTGTAAACTTCGTTTGATTTTCTTCGATGTGATAATAATTATTCGTGGAATTTATTTTTAATTTGCGAGTTTTGTGCCGAAATTGTGTGAAATTTTGCGATGAAGTATATACATTTTATTCGAATATATTTAAAATGTTCGAATGCCTGATGTGTGAAAATTTAATGTGGTTAACGATGGTGGAATGAATATTGCGAAATTGCAAAATTTATCGGTGAATAAAATTATAATAATGTGGAATCGTAAAGTATTTATCAGGATCATCGAAGTGGTGAGTAAATATTTATTTAATTTAATATTACGAGGTTTTGTATCAATATTTGAATATTTCACAGCTCGTGTTTTTGAATTTAACTCTGCAAATTTATATTATGAATGATGATGAATTTATACCAGTGTTGTCACAATAATTGTAACGATATTTTGAATATTTTGACAATTAATTATTTATAATTATTTCTGCGAATGGAACACGGTATAATTCATTTTAATATATTGTTTTTTGGAATAGATAAATGAACTAAATTTCATCGAACGAATATTCGATTTGCAGATACTTTGTATTGCTTGTGTGGTGGCATTAAGGGTGACCGATGACGAGAGTCGAAGGGTTTTCCATTATTTAAGAAGTCGCAGCAGAGAATGGTCTCTTTTGAACAACGTCACGTGGGGTGCAATAGGTTCGAAATATCAATTCATTGTATTCATTTTATTTCTCATGTTAAGAAAAAATAAAATTATTTTTATTCAATCTTATATATATCTTTAAAATTATTCTTATTAAAAATTGATAGTATAATACTTTCTTCTTAATACAAATATTTTTTCAGAATATATGAAAAATAATTGGCGAGACATATTATGGAAGATTAATTCTGGACAACTCCATTATTTCATAATTGTTAAAACTTTGAATTATTTAAAAAAATTCGAGCTGTCTAAGAAATTGTCGCAGATATTTCAATTATATAAAAAATATTGATGAATAAATTATTTTATGCATCAGATAATGAATTGTTTAAAAAAATTCAAGCTGTCTAAGAAATTGTCGCAGATATTTCAATTATATAAACAATATTGATGAATAAATTATTTTATGCATCAGATAATGAATAAGTATAATATTCTGGAATGTAAAACACGCAACTTTTCTTTTGTTAATCTAGGCGCCGCTCTTGCAACCGCGACTTGTGGTGGTTACATAATAATCACAACAGGTCTCCTTATTGCCGCTGCAACAGGAGAGCTTAATGGTCGAAAGACGGTAATCATTTCCCTTTTTTTTTTCCATATCTGTTTGCGCAATATTTGCAATACACGACGAAAACATTCGAAATGCATTTTATGACCTGTTAATTTCTCCTTCCTCGACAATTATAATATAAGTCGTCACACTTCCTTAATAGTCTTATTGTTCGGTGTCTTCAAGGTATTCTTTCTCTTTTAACGTCCTTCGACGAACTGATTTTATCTCTTATGTCTTGTCTTGTGTCTTCGACCAATGCCCTAAATTCAGACATCTAATTCTTTCAAAAATATTTTTTTTGAACACTATTGCGCAAAATCATAAAAATTTTTTGATAATTATAATTTATGAAGTAAATGCCAAAGCCGTTGCAGAGAGATAGTCTTAATTAAAAATCAGGAATTTTAGAATTTAACTTCCTGTTTTTTTTTTTATTTCATACTGAAGAAGTTTCACCGGTAAAAGTAAGATTAAACGGATAAAAATTGAAGTTCTATTTAAATCCATTATATGAATAATATTAGCATAATGTTAGCAATTAAAGTTATATTACCTTTTACTTTTTTTTTTCTAGCCAACATTGATTTACAATATCAAAGATTTTCTACATAATTTTCCGCAAAACTGCATATACATCTAGATAAATGCATCAAATTCTTTTGCATTTGCAAGAGCAAACAATATTTTCAAGGAGGCACGTTCAAATCCCACGATATTAATCTTATTTTCAACATCCTTCCTGATTAGAAAATCTCGTTTTTTCCAACAGACACTCCTCGTTCATTAATCAATCCATGTTATAATGAAATTAAATCGTGACGTTCTGAATTATATACATACTTGTTTCAAAGGTTAATTTTTTCAACTTATGCAAAACAGATAGAACAAGAAATCTTTTAAATGTGGAGCATGATTTAACCTATCGTGAGAAATATCGTGTCCATCGTAACGTTGTTGGTGCCAAGGTTAAAAATATCCTTCATGCAAAATGATTACGAGAAGAGATACGTAACAGCATCCTTGGTTGTATGGCAATTGAGCCACGTAATATAAACTGTGACTTATTTAATGACTCATAAATGAGGCTAGACGAAGATTTCTGCATTAAGAATTAAATTTGCATTGAAAAAAAAAGAAAAAGAAAAAGCAATGTTGTTTATATTCTTGGAAGGAAAAATTTGTACAAAAGATGGATATAATATTTAGAAATATTTCATTAAGTACAATCTCCATTGTAAAGAAATCTTGGAATGGAATACGAATTATCGAATTATCAATTCTTAGTATACGTGCGAAGATCGTTTCACTTTTATTCTTGAAAATTTAAATGATAGAAGATAAAAAATAAAAAAGAATGTATTAAACGGAGGAAGTTATTAAAATTTAATAATGTTTTTTAATGGAAGATACGAAGATTCATTTTTTTTTTTTTTTATTCAAGGAAATATTCTTCCTTGGACTTGGAGTGATTCTTTTCGGTATTGTTGGCGCATTGTCCATGGCGTCCATTGAAAACGTCCCTGAGGATTTGATCGACAATGCCGCGGTTTTTGGGGCACTGTGTCTGCTAACAGCGTTGGTTTTCATCGGCGACCTGTTAATGAGCACACCTAAAAAGAAGAACAAGCAAAGCAAATTGGCGGAATTCTTGACCGATAAAAAAGGTATTTACAAAAATTATTGTGTTTTATACGAAGAAGATATCGAATACAAGTGTATAATTTTATAGGCAAGGAACAACAAATAACGACGACTCTTACCACGGAAAAAGAATCAAAATCTCCGAAAATAAGCGGTTCAAAAGTCTCCAAAAAAGACGATGAGGGAAATATAAACGATGGTTTCGATAAAGTGGATGAACAACGCCAAAAGAGTTCAGCCAAGAAGGAGGAACGAAGGTATTCGAAAGAAGAAGCGTATGGGCACGATGAAATCGATAATTTCGATCGAGAAGACGGAGAGCCGAAAGAGTACACGCAGAACTTCGAGAATGGAAGAGCTCTCAGGGATTCGCAAATGTATCGAGATCCTGAGATGCAAAAGGTTGGGAACAGAGATTCTTATAAAATGGCTCACAGAATGGAAATGCCTGTGATGTATAAGATGCAGGATATTTATCAACGTCCAGTGGATGAAATCGACACGCCTCGTTTTCCGATTGAGACGAATCGCAAAAATGAGACTATGTTCGCCAAACTCGTGAACCCTAGCGTGAAGATTATGAAAGTTGAACGTGATGTGGACGAAGCTATCGAAAGTTACAGGTAAAAATTATTATTTTCTAATTTAATGATTCTTCCTGCAATATTCATATTTCATTTATTATTATTTTTTCTTTTCTTTCTTGTGATCAAGATATTCTGACACTAGTCAGTACGACAACGTGCCAGTCAGAATGAGAGGAACATCGTTGAGAAGTCAGAAGAAAAGTCGTGACGTTTCTTTCAACGTTCCACCACCGCCAAAGGGTTATGAGCAGGAGCTTGACCAAGAAAAAGATGAAATCGAGATGCTGGAAGAATGTTTTACCTCGCTTCGAACAACAAGCACAGGGACACAGACGCCCAATCTTCGAATACCTTCGTCACCCACTGATCCAGGATACGTTCGACACACTGCCAGCAATTGGCCCCAAGAGAATAAAACTAAGACCCCTGGTTCGAGTCCAAATCGCACAAGGAATTGATATTATTATGCACAAAAAGTAATTAAAATTTTGCATCATGATTTCTTACGTCTGAGATAGAGTTTCCAATTTTTTGAGAAAGAGATTTCAAGGAGCTTTGTTAAAAGGATTATAGTTATAGATAGATTAGAAAGGTCTGTGAGGTGTTATGAAAATGACATAACATTTTTTCACTTTTCCATTTTCTTCTATTTAAATATTAGTCTATTGTTTCTCTATGTCTGAGACACAGTTTCCATTTGAGAAAAAGATTTCAAGGAGCTTTGTTAAAAGGATTATAGTTATAGATAGGTTAGAAAGGTCTGTGAGGTGTTATGAAAATGACATAATATTTTTTCACTTTTCCATTTTTTTCTATTTAAATATTAGTCTATAGTTTCTCTATGTTTTTAATAAAATGTTGTAATAATTTTCAGTGTCAGAAATTTGGTTGCATTTATCATACAGTTTGTATATTTTTACTCACTGCCTTTTCAATTACAATCGGTATGTTTGATATTATTAAATAAGAATATTTTTATGAATTGGAAAGCAAAAATTGTTTATTGTATATCTTTTTTTTTTCTCATTTTATTAATTCGATTATTTACAAACTGTATTAATTAATTTAAAAGGGTGACAAAAGAATCTTCATAGACACGTGGTTATTTTTGTATAAGTAGAATCTTTTAATATATAAAGTTTTAATACCTCCTTTCACATCGATACGCATTACGTACAATTATTAATAATAATGTCTCCTTGTGATAAACATGTAACCGCAATTTGTTAGTCTCCATCAGAACTTATTCGTTAAAGATATTAGCGTTTAATTGGATTTACATTTAATCATTTTTTTCTACGTGTGTGTACCGTATCGTTTCTTTTTCTTACATATTTTTATATATAAATAAATCGATTTTATCCAATATCAAGTTATTTATGTTAGTCGTTTTTCTTATATTATTTAATTTACGTGATCGATAATTTCTTCGATTATTAAATAAACGAGAAGAAATTTGTCTTTATTGGAATTGAAAGAAAAAGAAATCAATCGGAAAACGCAGAGAGTTTCGACGTGTTCTGTCATCGAATTTTATTTAAAAAAAAGCCACAAAGCTATTTCTCATTCTACAAAACAGTCGTCCTCTCTTTCAGCTTTTTCACGTAATCCTCTCATTCTCTAAACGTTTCTAAACGCGTATTTACAGAGTTGAGAATTATTGCTTAGATACTTGAGCATTCGTTCCTCTTCTTCCACGTATTAAACATTACATATAAAATTGTTTAAACTTAATGAAGAGGATTATCAGACATTCTCATTCTTAAGACTGGTGTAACTAGATTATCTTTTATTATTTTATGAAACGATAAATTGAAGATTGGAATGTTATTAAATTGATATATGTATAGTACGTTTAATTCCATGTAAAATTCTTGATCTACTTCCCTTTCGCATCGAGGTATAAGCTTGTGACTTAATTCTTTAAATTTGTTACGTTTTGGTGTACTCGTCTTCTATGGAAAAGTATTTCTTAAAACGAGAGAAAAAATACGCAAAATATCTTGTCACAATTTAATAGATAGTTAGAATGATTCTATCTATAATAGTATTATCAGATGTATTGTAATTCCCTTGAATTCTTTTCATCTCTAACTAAACATATTTACAAGTCGAAAAACTCTCAAACTTTTCTTCATTAGTTTGAATTTTCTCTTAAGAAATCTTTATCAGATCTTTTATGTCATGAATAAATAAATAACAAAAAGATAAATGTAATTTTATTGATAATTCTTTCAAATTTTCGAATATTCTTATTCTTTCTCCTTCTACAATGTTATTTTCAAAAATACTTATGAATATTGATAAAAAATAAAAATTTATTATAGATATTAAAAAACTTTTTATCGAGAAACTCTTTTTTCTTTTTTGTTCTCCTTTTTTTGTGTAATTATTTCTCTTAAATACGTATTTACAGTATTTTTCATTTGATTAAGTACGAGAAAAAATATAAAATTTCTAAAATTTGAATCCACATTGCTATAAGTGCAGAATGCAAATCGAATATTTTATCTCATGCCAAATCCAATGCTAGTACCTTGAGCATTAGTGGCTCTTTGTTCCATGGTGATATATTGTCTAATTAATCGTGAAATTTCATGAGCTTGTTCAGTCTGCAATCTTGTAATCCGTTGTTGCATCAAATTACCGCATTTCATATCAAGATAAAGGGTTCCTTCTTCAGATTTTACTTTTCTTGTAGAAATTACTTCAGAATAGGGGTAATGATAGAGAGTTTCCTGAAATTTTAATATTGATTACATAAATTATTCATACAAATTTTTATGTAAAGTTAAGAAATTAGGGATTAAATCATACTTACATGTGTGATTAAATCAATAAAATGCACTCCATGCCTATTGAGTGCCAAAATATGATCACCTCCCTTTTCTTTTCCTTCAGGCACTCTTTTCACAGCAAAGAAACTAGATCCAAACAATGGCCATTTCCACAAAATTTCTAGCAATAGATATCAATATTTTTTAGATATGGTAAAGATAAGATTTATAATTCATTGTATGATTCATTTTGATTCATTGTATAAAATAAAAAATATAGAAATGTTTAATGTTTATTGATCGGAATTAAAATACTTACCAAGCACTTGTGCTTTACAAGCAGCTACTGTATTATGTTGCACATTATTCCATGCTTGTTGGACCATGTTTGACCATTGTTGTGGTCGTGGTTCTCTTAAACTAAGCACTGGTTTTGGTAATAAATATTTAATTTCTTTTGTTGTAGGTTCATGATTCATATCTGCTGCCCTATGCAATAGAGCTGCTATTTGTGCCATATCATACTTAAAAGAAAAAAGAAAATGTATTAATTAAAAATAAATTCTATAAAACTATAATATCAAAAGAAAATACTCACTATGACTTCTTGAGGTAAATGTTCACCAGGTAGAACTAATAAAAGACCTTCCAAATAATCTGGAGCAATCTGATTGAATACAACTTCTATATACAGTGGAGCATCCAGTCTGAGAGGATAATACCATACAGATCTAAATTTAAAAGGAATTATATTAATTTTTCATAATTTAATTTTATTTAATTTATACTACTTTCAAAAAAATTATTAGAATTATATTAAAATCATATTTAAAAATATTATACCTGCAGAATATTAGGTAAAAGACCTGATGATTTTTATGTAATTCTGTAGTTACATCCAGTACATATTCATCCCTGGCTAAAGGCATAGTAAATGCATCACCATCGACAATACAATATAATGAGAATTCATCCATTTCATGAGGATTTCTTACAGATATTATGTTGCACATTTCTTCAATAACATCCTATTAATAAAAATAAACTATTAATAAATATTTATAAAATTATAATTTAATATAATTATAATTATAATTATATTAAATATAATTTATATTAAATTAATTTAATATATTATAAAT